GAGCCGGTGAGATTTGAACCGCCGAACTGCAGATAACAGTCAGCTGAAGGGGCCTGCAGTACTGCACCCTAACCACTGCGCCACCTCGGCTCCCTGATGAGGGCTTTGTGTCGGAGGCAGAGGGGGGGCCAGGGCCATATGCCGGTTATCAGCTGCCTTCAGAGTCAGACATCATTGAGGCAGACGAACAGCTGGAGCCTGTTCCCAGTATGCGCATGCACAGAGTTGCCAGACGAAGGGAACAGCTCTTAGAATAGAATAATAACTTTATTGTCACTTTGAATGAATACTAATCGGCACACACTAAAATGAAATTTCGTTGCATACAGCTCTCAAAGAGTCACCACCTCCAATATACACTACATGAACACGACAAAATAAATAAATAAATAAATAAGTAAATACTAAAATAAATAAATGTGCACAAAATTAAATACATGCACGCGGTACATACATACATACAAACAAAATCTTGCGCCTGCTCTCTTTGCTGCGATGCTCACACTGTGCCTTGACTTCCCTCTTGTTTCCCCAGTGGAATTGGTGAAGACGGAGGTGCCGAACTGCCTGATGGAGGGAGAGGATGGTCTCCTGGAACCCCCTCAGCACCTCCTGCAGCAGACCGAGGACCAGCTCCCTTCTACAGCCTACGGCGACCCAGGCCCCTTTGTCAGTTTTTCCCCTCCCCTCGACCAAGAGGATTATCTATGGGGACTGGAGGCGAGCGAGGGTGTAAGTGACTTGTTCGATGCCTATGACTTGGCGGATTTGCTGAAAAATTGAACCTGGAGCTTCCCTGGCCCTTCCTACGGTGCTGCCAATAACCTGCCCTGCATAGACACAAGAGATCCAGATTCCGAAGCTTTCGGCTCTTTCTTAATAGCATCTTTTTGGAATTTTGTCCAAAAGACACGGCTAAGAAGCTTGCCTCTTCCAGTTCATACTCCCTCTGTTTAGAAAACTCTCGCCTCCCATTCAAGGCTTTCCCAAAGGATTTTGAACGGGTCCCAGTGCAGTAAAGCACCCCATATGCTGCTATGGGGAAGCCTCCCTTTTCTTCCTCCCTCCTGGCATTCTGTCTTCTTGTTTTTGTTTTTTAAGAAGGGCTGAGGGTCAGATTTTGGACTCTCGATTTCACTCTTTCCTCCATCAGGCCCACCATGGAAATTGCACGCACAACTGCCAATGCCTTGGGAAAACCAGGAAGTCTTAATCCAGTTGTATATTTTCTTGGTGGAGCCCCACACGTCTCAGCAGGGCATAAGGCCTCTCTCTAGGGCGCACCGCTCATCCCCCCCCCCTGGGAAGGACCCACAAATCTGTCCTTCATAAATGTGCAAACGTGACTTCTCCAGGGATAGCGCTCCAGAGAAGCCCCCAATCCGTTAAGTTTCCTTCTGGACCTCTTGAGCCCACAACCCAGAGGCATCCCCAGAGATAGGTAGTTATCCAAAAATAAATCTCCTGCAACAGGAAGGGATTTTCAGGATTCGTGAGCAGGAACAGGAAGTCAGAAGTGGCTGTCGTCTTGCTGTGAGCCCCCCAATAAATATTACAATCCCTCTTTCTGGGGTGGGAGATAGGGAACGAGGAGGTAGGCCAGCTTCTCCCGGTGCCAGGGTTCTCCTCCTAAGTGAGCCTGGGTCAACCAGACGTGTCTGAGGCGGTTCAGTGCAAGACGAACCTGGGTAGGTTCTTCCATATTTTAGTATCCCCGGCTGAACTTTGGAAAATCTCGGCATGCCCTGGTTCGAAGCTAACTTCACATGCCTTGCAAATGGTTCTCATTCCATCTCGGAGGCAATACGGTATCCTCCCTATGTTTGAGGCCTTCTCATCAGCCTAGCTCAGTGATTGGCAAGCCTTTTAGACACCAAAAAGGCAGCGCGGAAACATTGCGTGCGCACTCACCAGGGCCGCGCTCCCAAAAAGCCGAATTTCCAGGTTCTAGCATGCATGTCCTCCCAATGATCAGCTGGCTGGCACACATGCACAGGCCGGCTTTCGGCACTGCCGCGTGCGCAAAGGGATCACGCTCCGGAAAAGCCAAACTTCCGGGTTCTAGTGCGCATGACAATCAACTGGCCAGCACACATGGACAGGCCGGCTTTCGGCACTGCCGCGTGCGCAAAGGGATCACGCTCCGGAAAAGCCAAACTTCCGGGTTCCCGTCCTCATGTGCACTCAATAATCAGCGGGCTGGTGCGAATGTGTGCGCCGGTTTTCGGCACTGCTGCACGCACAAAGGACAACTGATTGTCGCATGCACATGCGTGCCAGAAGACAAACAGACAAGGCCGCACATGTTGGGTGACATGGCTTTGTGTGCCAATTTGGCACGCTTGCCGTAGGTTTGCCATCACGGGGCCTAGCTGGTGAGGGGGAAGGAGAGTTGTGCCAAAAGAAAAGGAAAAGATTAACCACCTTGCTTGGTTGGCATCCCAAGCTATGGCATAAAACAAGGTGGCATCTCAGAAGGCAGCCACGTTCTTCCCCCAAGACTCAGGTTAAAAGAGGACATTTTTAAATCCATGCAAACACTGTTTTCCCTTCCCCAGAAAGGTTTGGTCTTTTGAGAGTTGGCTGGGTTCGTTTCATAATCGGACCATTCCTGATCGCCCAACCTCATTCTTTGTTGGGTCAAAGTGTTCAACATGCCAACAGATGTGGTGGTTCTCCACTTCTCCAAGATCTGGATCTCAGTGGATCAGAGGTTTTCAGCTGCAGCTTAAGTCTGGCTGTAGCCTTAATTCCGAAGTGTGTGTTTCTCGGTGACCCATCAGCCTTAATGTGGAATAACGTAGCCTCTGACTCACAATACATAAAGCAGATGTGACTTTACAGGGAAACATTACACCAGTGGGGGAGTTGCACGTGATTCTTCTGCAACCTGAACATTGGCAGACTCTTACAACCCCTTTGCTTCTGAGGCTGACACCGGCATCTCAGCAATACTTGTTTATTTTTGTCACTGGTCGGAACAAAAGCTTCCCACTATCGGTGACATGGGATTTGACCGCAACAGATCACTTTCTATCAGATAACACGGTTTGGTTGTCTACCAAAATACGTTGATTGTTCAAGATATTCAGGCAATATGAGTCTCCCTGCTGTAAGATCACATACCTGCAGTTCTAAATAAAATTGCAGTGCATTTCCTTTTATGTTTGCTGCTGCTGGATGGAAGGAGTCTACCAAGTTCAAAATTACCGTATTTTTCAGACTGTAAGACACACTTAGATTTCGAAGAGGAAAACAAGAAAAAAAAAGTTTTTGGCCTCTGCGTGTCCGGTTTTTGCCTTTCCTGGCCCCCAGGAGTATTGGAGGCCTCCCAAGCCCTTCACCCATCCCGTTTTCGCCAAAAATGGGCCTGTTTTTGGTGAAAATGGGACATACAGGGAGGTTTCATGAGGCTGAAAACCGCTGTATTCGGTCTATAAGACGCACCGACATTTCCACCCACTTTTTGAGTGGGGAAAAGTGTGTCTTAGAGTCTGAAAAATATAGCAGTTAATTTCCATGAAAGGTGAAATGGCTCTTGACCTGTATTTTATTTTTCTTTCAAAAAAAGGAAGAGATTTTAAAGGTTACACATTTCTTCCTTAAGTAGGAAGGTGGAAGGGAAAGGGAAAAAATCAACAGGCAGAGAAGTCTCTTCCAGTAATTGTCTTATAATTGTCATTTCTAGCTGCCTTAGAGTGGCCCAAGTCCATCTGTAGTAAATGCATCCTTTCTCAGGGAACTAGACTGTCACTTGGGGTGTTTTCTGATCCAAGATCTCTGAGGTTTGGAGGGGACAGTGCTGTCCAGATTCATCCACTCATCAACAGGTAGAGTAAGGGTGTCCAACCTTGGCAACTTGAAGACTTCAACTCCCAGAATTCCCCAGCCAGCCATGCTGGCTGAGGTATTCTGGGAGTTGAAGTCTTCCAAGTTGCCAAGGTTGGACACCCTTGGCATAGAGCAGGCATCTTCAAACTTTGAAAATTTAAGACTTGTGGACTTCAACTCCCAGAATTCCTCAAGCAGCCATGTTGACTGAGGAATTCCGGGAGTTGAAATCCACAAGTCTATAAGTTTCCAAGTTTAGATGTTAGAGGGAGACCAGATGCTAAATAGACAAGAAGAGGATCTGGATCCAGGGATCCTGTGATTTATGTCTGGAGCTTTACTGATCCTTTAGCCACCAATCTTGCACAATTTGGACCCACCCTTGATTTTTCTTCTTCACAACTTGTGTGACTAAATTCCTTGAACAAATTCAGTCTAGCTTTAAAGGGGCCTTCGGTTTGCCTTAACCACATCATCATGCAGAGCTGGCTTATTGCCATGTTGGAACCCTATATCTGGGCTGTAATCTGTTCAGGAAGTCAGAAGATCTTAACCTAATGCAGAGGATATTTAGATCCTAAGATGAAATGTCAGCCTAGCCTTTTCTGTCATGCTTGTTTCTTCTGTGTGTAAAGATTGGGTTGCTCAAAATATCCCTTTGCTTGTGGTAGGAGAAAGATCTTGTCTCAATTAGAACTAAGGCTGTTGCAGTAGTGAATAACCAGAGGCATAAATGTGTGTTTGTGCATGCATGAGGTGGGTGAATGTGGGGAAGCAAGAGAAAGAAATTCAAAAGATTGAATGTGGGAATGCAAGAGAAAGAAATTCAAAACGTTGCATTATCTGGAAAGTGGACATCGGGTTCTGTATAGTGTTTTTGGAAACCTGTCTTATGTGGGGGGGTGGGAGAATCCTCAATCGATATGCTTTTCCCTTAGCTGAGCTCTTAAAATCTCAATTACATCCTGTATACCAAATGAGTTTTGCACTTTGCTGATGCAAAACATAGTGGTTTATTTTTATTTTGGTTGCAAGGAAATGGGTCTGTGACAGAAGTTCACAGAAACCTTCTCACTGCCTTACTTTTCAGAGCCCCAGTTAAATAAACCCAGTGTAGTTTTTCTGGCTACACCCACCCTCGATTTTCTTGCTTGAGCAAGAAACGAGGGAGCAGAAGGCACAAAATTTGGGGCGCATCGTGGAAAGGTGTCCCCAGCTTTGCCCCAGGTGGCTAAAGCAATGCTGGCCAGGCTGAAGATCGCATTAGAGTTGCACACAGTATACCTCTTGACACAGATGCCTTGCACAACCCAAGAGTGAGCCTTAGCACACTTCCTTGTCCAGATGTTATTTTCTTCCTTGGTACACAATCTCCTCCCCCCCCCCCCGGGACTCTGGCAACTCGCCATGGCCAACTCGCTGCATCGAAGAAATAGTGGAGTAGAATCATTAAAGAAAGGATGCCAAAGGAGGGACAAAATGAAATGCGAAGGACAAAAATTAAAATAGTTTTGTAAATTATTTTAATTAAATTGAATTGTTGAGTTGTCCTGTTTCCCCCAAAATAAGATCTCCCTGGGTAATAAGCCCAATTTGGGCTTTTGAGTGCATTTCCTAAATATAAGCCCTCCCCAAAAATATTGCAACACAGCAGCAGCCAGGAGGTGACCACACTCGCCACCTTCTTCACCACCTCAAACAATAAGACCTCCCCGAAAATAAGATCAAGTGCTTTTTTCAGCAGTAAAAAGAAAATAAGACCCTGTCTTATTTTCAGGGAGACATGGTATGTTGTGTTAGGCGTAGTGAGTTGGCTGTGGCAAGTTGTTCCGTGCCACCTCTGCTTAAAAAGAGAAATGGCTGTTGGGATAGGGCAGTGGTTCCCAAACTTGGCAACTTTAAGACTTGTGGACTTCAACTCCCAGAATTCTCCAGCCAGCTCTGCAGAGCTGGCTGGAGAATTCTGGGAGTTGAAGTCCACAAGTCTTAAAGTTGCCAAGTNGAGCCGGTGAGATTAGAACCGCTGAACTGCAGATAACAGTCAGCTGAAGTGGCCTGCAGTACTGCACCCTAACCACTGCGCCACCTCGGCTCGAGAAATTACAGAGGTCAGCTTTCAGTTCTGTAAAGCTGCC